AAAGGTTTTAAATAAACAATAAATTATTATTATTATTATTATACGATGTTCTTCAACATCCCTTTAATATTCAGCAAGGACTAGATTTCTGTCTTTGATTATTGTATGTGGCTGGAATGCAATTTTGTAACTGACCAGTTATAATAATTCCATGTTTTTTTCAAACTAAAAATGAAGAATATATATTACATTCGAAAATATATCAGTTTTTTTTTTGTTAATAAATTTGGATTCTACGTTATTATTTTAATGGTAACTTTTTTTTAATTTGACATAACTTAACCTATTTTTCAATGGCAACTCATTAGGCTTAGTCCACTTTTCATACATTTTCTCTTAAATACTGTTGCCTGCCTATGTTTTATTTATTTTTTAAATGATTATACTTACTCTTTTTTAACTGTAGCAATAAAAATATATAATACTAATAAAAAATTATATTTTTAAATTACGAATTCTATTAAAAATTATACTGTCAATAAACGCAAATGTTGCTCGTTAGTTCATACATTAGTTGGTTCTGCTGTCACGCACAGAGCGTATACAAAATATGCATTTTATTATCATAAAACAAATGAGGGATAAATTCATTACTTTTTGGAAAACCAGGCACTGTTTATTATAGGAAACAATTATATTTCACTGCCAATCTGGCAATGTATCCTCTCATATACAAACTAATATTCCGTATGCCTGGCGAAGTATCTTACAAGATACTATTTTTCAAACAAACCCAGATTAATTGCTAATTAAGTTACAATAAAAAAAAATATACACACTTATGTCCAAAAAGCTTATTTACTCATCTCTATTATTTGTTCCAATCAAAACAAAATAATAAAATCAAAATTAGAAAGACCTTACCGAAGGTCGTAAAATGTGGTCATTGTTGAACGCCATTTTGTGAGTCTGATGAAATCTGGTACTGTCATTCACCGATGTAGGGGAATATACATGTGAAATTTTATTATTGACTAGAAACAGGTCTTCTGACAAGTATACGTTTAAAAAATAGCGGAAATAAGTACAAGTGGTATGATAAAAAAATTCAACATAAGACGTATCTTGTAGGATACGCTGTCAAGTTAAGGGTTAATGTACTTGTCCCAGCGATGCTTCGGCATTTTAAGAACGTCACAGATGAAATTTTGTTCAACTTCTTCATACTATTCAGTTACGCGTAACCATCACATTGTCACTTCAAACGTTTCTGTCACGCAAATGTTCTTTTAGTTTTGATAAATAGGGTAGATGTTCATACCCCTGTACAAACTTTCACATCCCTTCTCTCCTTTTCCTCAATTCCCTCCCTTTCCCCCCTTAAAATATGAAAATCAAAAACCCTAAAACACGCCATTATTTATTTATGCTCAGTAGCTCTATTTCAAATTTTCATGTTTCACTACCACTATGCAAAAAATTATGTCTGATCCCTTGCTCTGTTAAAAACAAAAACAAATCTATCCCACGGGAACAGTACATTTTCCGGGATAAAAGTAGCCTATGTGCTATCGACTATAACCAAATTTCATCCAAATCCGTTTAGCCTTTCTGACGTGATTGAGTAACAAACATCCATCCTTACATCCAAATTTTCGCATTTATATATTAGTAGGATTAGAAAGACCTTGGTGTAAATATAATTTCAGATATCGGTGAAAGTTTATGAAGGTATTGTTTCTCATGACTGAAAATTAACTCAGTTCAAAAGAGCCAGTTTTTTGTAGGGATCATTACTGGTTTAGTAAAAACCGGGAATACTTTGTAGTGGCTTATATTAGTAATAGTAACAATGAGACTCGTCAGATATCCCTAAGAGATGTTTTCTATGATAGTCTTATAACATTATCGGCGCAGGCATTTATTGCTGTTACTTCAGCCTGAAAAACTATTGCATGTAACTCCAGGTTTAAACTAATTATCCTCCCTGAATTCGCATGATAAATACCACCTTCTGTGCTGTTTGGCATTTTCGAACCGTCTCAATATGAGATTGATTCGTTTTGTATTTCCTTATTTTCCCGGCTTTTTGCCCTTTCTGATATTTGAATATCGAAAGGTTTCAAGTCATGAATAATAGCTATTATATCCGGTATGGCATTTTGTTTAAATTTTTCTAATATCATTGTATGGTGTATGGTTCTTACAAGTTCTTATCCAAATTTATTTGTGAACAACAGTCTGTATGCCGCCGTCATAGTCTCTTCTTTTACCACAAGGTGGAATGGAAGAAGACCCAGACGTAGCTCAATTGCTGCATGAGGCGTACTTTTAAAGGGCCGTGTTATTATTCAGACATGTCAGCTTTTGTATCTTTTCTAATTTTCTACTAGCTATTATGCCTTTATACTGATGAGTAAGTTACAACGGTTACTAAAACCATCCGTCCATAGGGTTCTTGGAGCTATCTTAAAGATGATTTCAAGACATATCACTTCCTTTGCCATTTTTTGATGTCCCTACATACAAAACAGAGGTTTTCGCTGGATTTAAGGACAATCCCTGTTTTAGGCACCACCTTTTGGAGATATTTGGTGCCTGCATTGTAGCATTCTTTATTTTACTCTTTGAAAAACAATAGAGGGCTATTTAGTGTTCCTCAGATGAAAAACTATATGATGGAAGAAATTTGTTAACAATAATCACTACCTATATCCTATATCCACTACTACTGCAATGGGTGTCCATAATTAAAATATTTTTAAATCAGAATGGTTCTCATCAAAACTTTTGTTTTTGTTTAATGCCTTATTATCTATATAATTATGTAATTTTTAACTTCCATTACTCCCACATTTACCACACGTTTTCTTTAAATAATTTCACGTAACAATGGGTACAAAATTAATACACATTAATACTCTACATGGTGTACCAATAAAAACTCCCAGACCCGATATTTTGATAAGTAATAGAGATATTTTAATTCTGTAAAAGCCAGTTCACAGAGCACTAAGAGAGCTTCAATTTTAGATATAAATTGATTTTAAATAGGTCAATATGTAGATGGCGCTGCGCTCAATAATTTTTTTTCGATGGGAGGATCTCTCTTGTGTAGTGCATCTTATAAAAAATGCATTTTTAAGCAGATTTTGTCCTATGAACTAATTCGATAAATCTAGCCATTTTTGATATACAGAGTGGGTCACTCAAAACAATTTCATCTTGTTTTTCAGCATTAATCATTGAATTTTAAGAAAATGTTAAAACAGGTCGATTTTATTCCAAATTAAAAACATTTTTACAATACAGACATCTATCATGTGTCAACCGCCTCTCTTGCACTTCTCCAACACCTTAATTTTAAATAGGTAATGTACCATGTATGGCACATCATTGAAAAGATAATTTAATGGGGGATTCAAAAATATTTCTGTGCTTTGCGTTACTTAAATCTTATCGCCATCTAGCGGGATAATAATCTATTACGTATTATAGAGTGTAGTACATCATTAAAAAGGTAATTTTATGGGGAATTTAGAAATATGTTCAGTGCGATACTTTTAATTGTACCGCCCTCTATCGGGATAAAAAAATACGTATTATAAAGTGTGATACCTTTTTTGAAAGCAACTATAATTACTAATTCAATGCACCTCATTACATTAATATAAATATCATGCATATTGCACTTGCAATAGTTTGAAAACTAGTCATGCATTATTTTAAACATTATTGCTAACTTTATTTTGTTGCAAGTGCAATATGGAGATATTTATATTAATGTTATGTGGTGCATCGAATTAGTAATTAAATTAGTTTTCACATGAAGTGTCACACTTTATAATAGGTTACACGTTTTTTATCCCGATAGAAAGCATCGCAATAAACAGTCATATTTCTGACTTTCCCTTAAAATTACCTTTTCAATGATGTGCCGTAGATGGTACATTCTTTATTTAAAATTAAGGGGGTTTGAGAAGTGGAAGGGAGGGGATTGACACATGACAGATGTCTATATTGTAAAAACGTGTTTAATTTGGAATAAAAATCGACCTGTTTTAGCATTTTCTAAAAATCCAATGATTAATGCCGAAAAACAGAATGAAACTGTATTGATTGATTACTCTGTACATCAAAAATGGCTAGATTTATCGAATTAGTTTATAAAACAAAATCTGCTTAAAAATGTATTTTTTACAAGATATGCTATATAAGAAAGATTCTTCCATCGAAAAAAAAATATTGAACACAGCGTCATCTACATATTGTTCTATTTAAAATTAATTCATATCTAAAACTAAAACTCGCTTGCTTTTACAAAATTAAAATATCTCTATTAGTTACCAAAATATCCGTCCTGGGAGTTTTTATTAGAACACAGAACCTCTATTGTGAATATGTGACAAAAACGGTCCAAAATTTGGATCTGACAGACTACTGTGAATAGGTCAGAGGTGAAGCATTGGGAACAAGGAGACATTCCAACGTCATGTCACAAATATTTATCTGATGAACTTTTGACACAAAAACGTTTGTTTACTAAGTTTTGTTTTTTTTTTATATATATAATTAGTTTAATTAAAGGTAAAATTGTGCATTAAGGGTAAATTTTGAACAAAAACACGATGTAGGGTGTGATTTTGGGGATTTGTGTATCACCTTGATCAGGTAATCATCTTAACTGTCAAAAGGTCACGTGGTTTGGAATGCCTAATACTCGTATACATAAATTCTTTACAAATTGCTTGTGTTTGTTTCTTAAGTACGAGTATTGTAAAAAATTATCAACAATTATGACAATACCCGTATCCCACGTAATCCAGTAAAACAAGAAATTTATTGAAAATTGTCGTTCTTAGTGACTTTTATGATGACTTAAGTATCATTTCTGTCAAATAGGTCAGTGAGATTGTTTTATGGTTACTACTGAAGTTATTAATGTTAATTTTAGCCAACTGATTACATAACTTTAGGCACGTGGGATACGGGCGGTAGAGTTAAAGAATCCGTACAAAATTAATATGTAACGCTTTAACTATTAAATGTTTTCTTTTCAGGGTATCAAAGCAGTCATCGCTCAATCCTTCGAAAGAATCCACCGTTCGAACCTTGTAGGAATGGGCATCGTCCCGCTACAATTCCTACCGGGTCAAAACGCTGAATTCTTGGGACTCACTGGCAAAGAAAACTACACCATCCATCTACCGTCAGATCTTAAACCCGGACAACACGTTCAAGTGTCCACTAACGCGGGCACAAACTTCGAAGTGATATTGAGGTTCGATACCGAGGTGGATCTACTGTTCTACCAGCATGGCGGTATATTGAATTACATGATTAGAAAAATGGTTAATTAATTCGGTTGTTATAATTTTTTTTTATATATATAATATATAATAATTTTACAGCAATATTTTACGGTAACTGAAAGAAAAGATGGGTATGAGGATAGTTATTATTAAATTTATATTGCAATAAAGAAAGTGATTTTAAGGTATACAATAATTTTATTTCATTTGAATGTTGTCAAAATCCCTTCTTTCCTATAAATCCATTTTAAAATGTTATCCCCACATACATTTCTTTTTTATATAAAAAAGGTACTCGGAGGTTTTACTAATAGTTTTTTTTTTATTAAATTAATCATAACAATCATTTGTAGAAAAGTATAATGTTGGACTTCATATCCTGAGAGGCCTTAATGGTCCATTTTTAGTAGGGCTCGGAATTTTTCAGATTTTTGTATTCGAATATTCGTTTGAAACTTTATTCGAATACCCAAATTATTCACTATTCGAATATTTCTCAGTATTCGAATATTCGACTATTCGTACATTCGAATATTCAAGTATTCGAATATTCGTTTATTTGAATATTCGAGTATAGGAGTATTCGAATATTCGATTATTCAATTATACGAGTATTTGAATATTTCATTATTTGATTAACGTATAATTTATACCTGTTTGTTTTGATATGATGCTTAGTTCTTAATTGAATCCACAAATTACTGGTATTACTTCTGTGTATGACATTGTAAGTACATAATTTACACTGCACACGATTTTATTTTTTATCGAAGTAAAGCCAAATCTTACTGCGTTCTGAACTCTTATTTAACACCTGTAGCGGGCAAGCGTTGACAGACATACACACACTAATAGGAATAAAATAACTAGTAAGTCATAACTTAACAAACATAAACAAGCATGTGAAAAGTGCGAATGTGAAACAACGTTGGGGTTCCCCTCATTTACCAAATAAAACGCCAGCGCTAGAAGGAAATAAATAAATACAATGTTGCCGTAACGTAATAGTCCCAAATCAGAATTTTGTTAGTCGTTTTTCTTCTACCTTTATTTTTAAGCAATAGATAAAAAAGGAACATTTAAATTAGGTGTATAAATAAATTCAAATTATATATCCGAGTATTTGAACATTCACAGTATTCCGATATTTAAGTATTTGAATAGTCGAATATTCGAGTATCAAATACCTTGTTGAATTAGTCAAATATTTGAATATCGAGTATTCAAATATTCAACTATTCGAATTTTCGACTATTCGAATAATTTCGATCTAAAAATATCGAATTTTTAGTATTCGAATTATCGAAATAACTGAATACAATTCCGAGCCCTAATTTTTAGTACAACTGCTGGCTCCCAACCCTAAAAAACAAATCTCTTTAAGACAATAGTTCATTTGTAAGTTCAGCCAAACTCTCTTAATATTTACAAGAAACTTTCTTTGAGTGAAAAATTGAGACAAAATGATATAAAGAGAGCAGTTTAAATGTATATTTTAGTAAAATAGTAAAATCACTAAGATACTCTTAATATTGACATGAAAGACATCATCGGTAATTTTTTATATGTACTTTATAGTGAGTTTTAAGAAGTAGTTCGAATGTAGCGTGTAATAAATTCGACCAAACAACCTTAATTTTCCCAAGAAACTTGCTTAGAGTAATAATTTGAGACTTAAAATGTTGCATCGAACGTATCAAAATAGTTCAAATACATGGTTCAGTAAAATCAACAAGACTCTTATATTCATAAGAAGCGACCTCGGTAATTTTTTTAATGTGTTTTGACAAGTTTTAAGAAGTAGTTCAAATGTACCTATGAGTTTAGGCGAGCCTCATATTCACAAGAAACTTTCTGAGAGTAATAATTTGAGGTTGTTTACCTCTTACCATTTTTTGGGGATATACATCAGAGTCAACGAAGATCTGAATATACCAGAATACGGGAATAAGACATTCTAAGGGACACATGAGGGTTTAAAATTCCCTGATGTCATGCCTATTTTATTATTCTAGTTTTGTTTACAAATTTATTTACATATCTTAAAAAAGCTAAAATAATTCAATCTATATAATTGCAACTGAGCCCAAATTTATTTGAATCATTAGTAATTTCACTAAATTAGATGTAATAATTTTCAATAGATTACAAAACCTAGGATATCCAGTATTTTGTACTAGATGTGGCAACAGAGCTTAGCATTGTGTACGTTGTTTATTATGGGCGTATAACGGCTTGCATTGATAAAATCGTTTTATAGGGCCGTCAAATCCTTTAGTCTATATCCCTTACCTCTCACATGTCTCTTCATTCCCGATTTACAACTGGACCGGATCGACTGTAGTATGGATGTTGGCGTCACAATATTATATATTTTTCTTATCTCTGGAATATACCAGGTGCGGTGTGAATTCTTCCAGATCCCACTGAAGTAGGGCTGGAACTTGGCGAGTTAAATGATATTGCTTATCTAATTTTGTCTCTCTTCAATGTATTCGGCAGTTTGTAAATCGTAGTCAGATGGGTTATATTTTTCCTCTGCATGCTCGGCCATGTCTGCAATCCTCAGATTAGCTCACCAATACTGCGGTGTAGAGCTCTTTGAAGCATTATTCATGGCTGTATGCTGGAAATCGAAGAGTTCTTCACAGTAGGCACTCCATGCATCTCTGTTTTTGTCTAACGACTGTTTTGTATTCTCCGAGAAGCAATTTGGAAGTGTTCTCTGACTTTCGTGATGCTTGCCTCCATTTTTTTTGCTGGGTGGTGACATTGTTGCGTTGTAGGCAATTATCTCGGTCGAAGGAGAGGTATGCAGATGCCAGGGTCAAGTGTTATTTCTCCTGTTGATGGCGTATTCCATGTTCATTATCTGAAGCCGGAAGTCCATCGTCTACGTAGAGACTTATTATAGCAGCAGGCTGCTTCCTTCGCTTTTAAAGAAAATACATGGATCGGCTCTGCTCGTAGAGAAACCTTGCTCGGCTAGGAAATCCGTTAGTCTTTTATTCCAGCACCTGGGTGCTTCTTTAAGACCGTAGATGCTCTTTTTCAACCTGCAAACATTGTCTGTCCCATCTTCGTAGCCGATTGGTTACTTCATGAAGAGTTCTTCCTCCAGGTATATGTATAGAAATGCCGTAGTTACGTCAGATTGGGTCAGCGTCATGTCTTCGTTTACAGCAAGACTTAATATGGCTCTTATTGTACTGTACTTTGCTACGGGGCTGAATGTGGTCGTATTTTCGCCTCGCTTTTGGGAATAACCTTTGAGCACCAGTATGACTTTATACCTATATACTGATCCATCTGTGCTGACCTGAATGCGATATTATTGTGAGTTATATAAATTATCATTGTATAAATGTTTGTAACAGAAAGTAACTAAAAAGAAGTACAGAAGATGTTTATGTAACTGCTAATTCAAGTATTCCAACTTACATAAAACTTCATTTGTAGATATATGCGAGGGGTGTTAATGAATATGATGTTAAAATTTAAACATCTATGGAATATTTTAGTACCGTTTTAAAAATATATCAAGAAATCTTTATGAGAAACGTTACGAAAAAGAATGGTACTGGTAATGTTTAATGCACCTCCTGATTTTCCAGTCCTAACTAGGCGGTTGTGGTTATAATCTCAGCCCAAAAGAACTGCAGTAGTTTATCTCCTGGTATCGTGCCATTTCAACGATAGACTGTTGTCTCTTTCTTTGCTCTGGTGTGAAAGACATTACTAGTTTCTGTCTGACTCCGTTTTATTGAAGAATTTCTCTTAACTTTTCCATTATCGAACTCTCCGCTGTTGTCTCTGCTAGCATGACTTTAAGCTTCTCAGATACCTCGGATTTTTCTTTGATTGAAAAAATATATCTGACTCTGCTGTAATCGTCTTTAAAGAGGACATAATATCTAAAATGATTTTGTGATGACATACAAAGTCCGGAAACCTCGGTATGGGTCCGCTCTCCAGGTACCGTCGACGTATCCAGTCCAAATTTCTGTCGATGTGCTTTAGCAAAGTTACACTCTTCACATAGTTCAATGTCCAGCGTGACTTTTATTCCAAGTTCTCTAGAGATTACTTCTTTCACGTGTTTCTTATTCTGGTGACCTAATCTCTCGTGGTACAGCTGTAGCAGATTGTCCGTAGCGACAGAGGTTACTTGAGCTCTATATTAGGACTACAATTTTTGACGTGGAGCTTGAATAATCCTCCAAAGCGATTCCTTCCTACGAGAAGTACTTTATTTGGACAAACCTACATTCTTTGGTTTTCGAGAGAAAGTTACTAGTTGGTTGTTTATCTTGAGCAGACAGGACGGATAATAAGTTTTTCTTTGTGGAAGATACGTCCCATACGTCTGAGAGCTTGATTTTCTTCATTTCAATTGATAAACTACTTTTCCTAATAGCTCTACTGAGGAGTCTCCATTAGTGATGTGATTTGTGGCCTAGAATAATATCAGAACAGGCATATAACGTTACGTTTGTATTAGTAGTGTTTTCTAATGCGTTTCTGTTGGCGATCGTACTGGGTTTTGGCGGTTTTCCGTCAACTTTCCATTTTATGCACTGTTTGACTTTGCGTCCAGTTTTTTTGTCATAATGTCAGAATATATTCTTGGCTAATTTGCGTGCGCTGAATCTTCTGGTGCTATTTTCTGCGACTAAAACTTCTTGACTACTTTCGCACTTATTTGATAATGCTTTTCCATATGCACTTGCAGATCAGTAGCATTTTGGGTAAGTCACAGGCGCAGGAACTGTTTGATGCTAATTGATCGTTAACAATTTCAGATTGTAATTTATTCCACAGGTTTTTCAGTTTGGACATGTGAGTTTCAATGTCATCCTCTAATTGTTTCCGGTAATTGAATAATTCCATGCACCTATCGTACATTTGGTATTTTGTTCTGGCATCAAATAGTCTGTAGAGTTACAGTTATACGTCTCTTGCGGTAGAATATCTCATTACCTTCTGTAGTGTATTTTCTCTCATGTTTGTGCTAAGCTAGAAGTGCGGAATTGTCTGCTTTCACGAACATTTTCAAGTTCCTTCTCGAATATTTGTTTTTGTGCTGCAGTATGATCGGAAGTCACAGATTTTTCCAGTTTGCATTCAAAAAGATCCGTGGCGTGAGGGACTCGCCTCAAAAGAATACACATTTTGTATTTCCAGGTGGAC